TCACTTAGGTTGATTGCGAACCGTGCATGTCGGGCCATTCGCATACTTAAATACATAGATTGCTTTAACGGCATCCACCTTTTCGACATATAAAGAGCAATTTTAATTGTAAGCATTCGCGTCATTAGCATAAAATTTTGTTTAGTCAACTGTCGCAATTACGCCTTTTTTTAAATCAATTTTAAAGAATTTAATGACTTTTACTTCGACCTGCTGGCAACCTAGAAAAAAAAGCAATCTTCGGTATTTTCCAGAAAGTATTTAACGAAAAAAGAACTCCACTCGAAGGCCATGCGCTTCTTTGTCAAAAGGAGGGCATATCTATGCGCACATACCTGTACCTGTCTGAAGCGGCCGTAAAATTTTATAAATATGTGTTTTTGCAAAAACAGCAATAAAATGTACATAAAGGTTTAACGCTTAAAAGCCCGTAGTACGAAAAGAGCGAAAAAAGAAAAATTTCTTTTTCAATATCTCTTTATCGACATCGCATATGTATGCATGGCAGTCGTGGAAAGTGGTAAACTGTGAGACATGTTATTTACGTTAAAGATCTACAACAAATTGATCGATGTTTACATTGACAGATGCATTTGCATATAGCTATATTTTGGTTTCTTCATGCAATGCAAACGCGCATGCGCCAAATCCCGTCTTTATCACAAGGTGAACATGTAACATGATAGACAGATATACATATTTATGTCTATGTGTGGATTATTTATAAGAAATAGCAACAGTACAAATGCACAGACTGTATACACACACACACATATATATATATATATATATATATATATACCTTTTCACTCAATTTTATTGATATTATTACAAACATCCCAGGGGTATAATAGGTTCGTCAAGCGTTTCCAGCACATTATGCATATATATGTATATATATATACAGATATTCCTCATGTTTATGTATGCACGTATATTCTTGATGTTTATATATAGATGTGTATTCTTGATATACTTGATATTTATAAAGTTTGGCATTGATTTAGTTTTGTTTGTCCGTCTGTCCTTCGCTTGAACGGACGACTAGGCCTTCAAATTTTTATTCGGAAGAGCAAATTTTGTTTTGAAATTTTTTCGTATTCCCGACGAGAAGTTAAGCTCAAAATTTCAACAAATCTGTCGATGGACTCGCCCACAACTAACCAAGAAGACAACCCAAAATTGAAACTTCTAAAATGGTGGACTCTAGATCTTTAAGTAACGTTTTAAAAAGTTTTCTTCAAATAAAAATTCGGATTGGATAAATTGGACGAAAGCTCCTCAAACTTTTTCCGAATAAGCTGGCATGGCTTATGATCTATATAGACAGTGCTCCCAAGTTGCATAAAATTGTCATTCAAAGTAAGTACGACATATTAAGTATACAATACGGTGTGCAATGTTTATAATTCTGCGCTTTAGCTTTCAATCAAATATCATTGATAAGTTAATGTTAGTTATTTGAAAGGTCGACTTGACTGCAGTATAACTTGGTTTTTGTGGAATAAAAATTTGCATTATAAAGCATTTGATATAAATGTTAAGGAAAACAAAGAAAAAAATGCGAACAACATTGAAAGAGACGTTGCAAACTTTGGAAGGCGTTCGGTAAATCTTAGATACCACTTACGTATGCAACAAAAAAAAAGTTCACATCTTTCACTATTTCAGTAACTGCAAAAGCATTAGTGGGTTTATTGGAGCCATTTACTTTCCCAACGCCTTGGTGATGGTTCTTGTTAACTATTGGTAGACTGTTTATGACATTTGTAAAACGGGGACCACTGTTTGATAGCAAGGATAAGAGCAAGCTTGTGGTATTAAAAATCGTGAATGCAAGCGAGAATTAAAAATTTTTTGGATCTCTTTCTTATCCCTCCGGATTGCGAACCTCTGGACCGACTTTCTTGATTTTCGAACTTTACCTAGCAAAGCTAATAAGTTAAAAATATAAAACCAAAGGTGGTCGCTCACCCGAACGAAATTCTGATGGCGTAAGATTAGTTTCAAGGAAAGGACAGATAGACAAACCAAACTGAGTCGGTTATGCGTACATATCGAAAATGTATTTTCTTTATGCGATGCAAACATTTAATAACAATGAGATGTAGTTATAAACTTGATGTGTGAATTTCGGCGAACTTCCGAGCGTCCTATGCTACACCTTTAGCATATTTTCAATGAAGGATCATGGCTGCCCTCTACTCAATTCCCTTTCTCTCCCCCTTGTTGTACCTATACCTTTCCGCGGCTATCACTACACGTACAGCGAACATCTTCTGATCGACGGACGAGGGTTGGTGGGGTTTATTTTTTCTTCCATAGAGAAATTTGAATATGTGATCTTGCTTGATTTTTAAGGTAACTTGTACTTTTGAATTTCGATGTGAAGAGATCTCGAAATTTTCGAAACGAGTACAAATAGATAATGCTAGTCTTAAATATTTCCGTGAGTAATCAATCCATCACTATCCATGTCAATAGTCAATGATTGTCTTATGTGTTTTTCGAATAACTTCGCTAATGATAAAAATGATTTAAGCATATTTTCTCTTCAACTTTCTTCCAATTGAATTTTACGATTGTTTTGTATAAGTTTTTAGTTTTAGTTTTTATTTTTATTTTTCTTTTACTTTTATGTTTATTCGCTTTCCTTAAAATTTATATCAATCGCTTTGCAATGCAAATTTTTTTCGTGTGCACTGCCAAGCAAAGCAAAATAATTTCAATAGAATTGAGTGAAAAAATTTTTAAAAGCAATGCATTTGTTTGTTTGTATTTCTGTTACGTGTTCATCTTGCATCTTGGCGCATCTTCTGATGTATTCCATTAACCGGTCGCAATATATTTGTATTTGTATGTAAATTTGCTTGTGAGACCCAATATCGATCAATCCGCTGCAGACTTTCAATATAAATAACTGAATTGAAATTTATAGCCTTTACGGGTTCCGCGGTAGTAAAACACTGTCTTTAGCAAATAAGCAAATTTTCATTTTAAATACAAAAACGCTTTGAACTGAAATCTTTTTTGTTCGGTTGCCTTAGAGAGCGAGAGAGGGAGAGAGAGATAGGGAGATATGCAAGTGTCATTAATATCTGAAATAAGTTTCATGTCATTCGGTTTGCTTCGACTCTCACGCATTTAAAAATGGGAAGCCGCTATAACAGTCTAAAGCAAGGCCTTTTTATGGAACGGAAACAAAAGTCATACGATAGTGATATTCGGTAAGCCGTAGTGAAGCATATACAGGCAAAGTTCCGTGAATACGGAATGGTAATTGGATATCTATTAGAATCCTTTTATTATTATGCACGTACTTATCAGATCCGCGAATAAAGAAATTTATAGACGCGAATATAGAATTTTTAAAATTTTTTTTTAATCTGCGAATAGTGGAAACGCGAATGAACGAAACACGAATATGGAGCTTTTACTGTATTTGTAGAATTGTAGAAAAATTAATTTTGAACAACTTTAAACAAATGGCAACACCTGAGCCATTCACACGGGGCATGCTTAGTTCAAAGAGCGCACAAATTTCAATCTAAAAAACAAATAAATTCAAAAATATTGTTTACTTAAAAAGCACGAAATTTCATACGCGAAAGATTTGTAGTATTGCGTTAAGTAAACATTTGAAAACTAGTAAGAAAATGATATTCGATCGTGAGCGAATCTTTTGCACCCATCAAAACAGACTGGCAGAGAAGAAAAGAACTACATTTTTATACTCTATAATATGGGATAGGCGCGGCTGGTTTTTCTCCTTTTTCAGAATGCAAGTGGAAATTTTTATGGTGTATGTGTAGTGGTTTATGAGTAACAAGCAAAAAACAGGGAAAGCAAAGGGGTTCAAATTTGTTTGCTTCATAGGCGTGTCCTTTCACCGGTACAGGTCAGATAGCGAGTTTTTGGGCGATAGTTGCATTTTTGTGAACGTTTACCACAGATGCTAAGCGATTGGCCAGACATGTAGATGAACACACTGACATGCAACCAATGCGTTGCTTCCTTTTTTGGATTTATACAAAATCCACTTTTTTTACTGACATGTTTTTTACTTTAAATATCACAAGTAAATGATGAATGGTAAAAAAAGACTTCTTTTAATTTGCTTTTTATTATGCAGGAATTAAAAAAAACAAAAAAAAATCCGAATGACTCACTAGTCAGATATTTTCTTATTTAAAAGCAAAATTACCTGCCTATTTATAATACGACAGAACTTTCTCTCCAACCTAATATACCATGTACCGGTATTGATACAGGGTATATTAAGTTTGTGCGGACGAGAGTAACACACAGAAGGGCGTAACATAGATCATTCTTTTATTATACCGATCGATTTAGAAGGTAATTCTAAGCTTGTCTGTCTGTCTGTCTATCCGTTTCATATGTGTTCAAGCTATAGGACATTTTTGAGATATTTTGATAAAATTTAATACACTGACACACTTTGATTCAAGGGCGAACGCTATTGAAAATGGTTTCGATCGGTGTACTTTCTCGACCCCTCCCTACGCAATGCCACATTTTGAAAAGTCGTTGTACAGAAAAAAATTGGAATTATCAAAATTTCTCGACAAAAGTGGCTAAGTAATAGTGTTTCGGCATTCTAAATTGGTGTGAAAGCGTTGATCGGCTGGGGCAATTTTGTAAACTCCCTCTCATATAACCTATCCCCCCAAAACTGAATCTTCATATAGCAAAAAGGGTTCATTTTTAATGTTGCATGGTAAAAATTAGATAATAATAGTAAATTGGCATAGAAATCAGCCTTAGCGAATTTGGATCATTTATATTACTTTTTTTGATATCGTCGCATAAAAGCACTTCTCCAGTATGCGGGCTTCCATGAAAAGCATGTTTTTGCACCAAAATAACTTTTGGTGTATTATACAACATTGTTTATATAATACACTATATGAGGCGAAGCGGTGTTGGATATCTAATAGCCGACCTTGTCTGAATATAATGTTCTCACTTGTTTTTTTTAACTTATGTTTTATTTAGGAAAATAAATAAATGCAAAGCTGTTTACAATAACCTCAAGCCAGTCTAATGAATGACTTTAAGACTCTTTCCAACATCAACGAAAGCAGCAATTGCATGATCAATGTCCGCTGTGCTGTGAGAGGCTGAAATTTGAACACGTATTCGAGCCTTACCCTTTGGTACGACGGGATAACTGAAGCCAATTACGTATATGCCGCGCTCTAAATGTGACATAAAACAAAGAAATATTTTAATAACGACTCGAAGGGCAGACGAACCGTCGCAAGCTTACTTAGCATTTCGTCAGCAAATGCAGATGCTAAACGTGCATCGCCTAACATAACCGGACAGATGGGATGATTCTCGCCCGATATAGTGAAACCGGCTTTGGTCATGGCCGATCTAAAGCGTTGTGTATTAGTCTGGACTTTTTCGGTGAGCTCATTGGAAGTCAATAGCATATCTATGACTTTGGTGCCTGTAGCAACGACGGCTGGCGGTAGGCTGTTCGAAAATAAATAAGGTCGCGATTTTTGTCTCAGAAACGTAATAAGTTCTTTGGGGCCGGTAGTATAACCGCCAGCAGCTCCTCCTAAAGCTTTGCCCAATGTCGAGTTAATAATATCTACACTTCCCGTTATGTTGTAGTATTCCTCAGTGCCTCGTCCCGTTTTACCAAAGAAGCCTGTAGCGTGGCACTCATCGATAAACGTTAAAGCGTTATACTCTTTCGCCAGAGCAACTATTTCCTTTAAAGGTGCAATATTGCCATCCATTGAAAAGACTCCATCGGTAACAATTAATTTCATTCGAGCTTTCGATGTTTCCAATAAATTTTTTAAGTCTAAATTTAAAATGATTTTTCAATTTCGGCAACAATTTGTAAATGCAATTGAGTTTTCCTCTTTACCATTCATATCGCGATGTTTATAACGATATTTTTGTGCTCTACATAAACGTATTCCGTCAATAATGGAGGCATGGTTAAGTTCATCAGAAAAGACAGCATCTTCACCGCTTAGGATGGCTTCGAACAAGCCGGCATTAGCGTCGAAACATGAAGCGTAGAGGATAGTGTCTTCGCGACCATGAAATTGAGCCAGCTTTTTCTCAAGATTCTTATGAATGTCTTGAGTACCGCAAATGAAGCGCACCGAACTTAGACCGGCACCGTACTTCTCCAAAACATTATGCGAGTAATTAACGACATCCGGATTATTCTTAAAAAAAACCAGCACAAATTAGTTAAATGCAATTAAATGACGTTTTGCACGTCTGCTTGTGACACGAACTTACGGCTAAGCCTAAATAGTTGTTGGCGCAAAAATTCAAAATTTTCTCATTGCTGCCCTCAACTGTAATCTGAGTACTTTGCGATGATGTGATAACGCGTTCCGATTTGAATGTGCCGGCATCTCTTATGCCGTTTAATTGATCGGAGAGTATTTCGCGCAACTGAGCATTAGCTGGTGCCGCTGACGAATACTGACGTCGCCGTAAAGCAAATCTAATGAAATTGTATTCCAAGCCTTTTTCAAATTCAAACAAATCCATTAACATTTAAAGCAATTACGTAAACATTTTTGTAAAAAATTTCCAAATGCTCCGTACCACAACACATTTAATTAATTATTACCTTTGAGTTGCACAAATTTGGAAATGATTGGCATTTTCTTCTCAATTGATAAATACTTATAAATACATATATATATATATATATTTATTTTTTTATACGTAAAGCGTAGACGTGCTCTGTATACTGTTGCACAACACTTGCTCACTTCAGAATTTCCAGCGGTAAACTGATGGTCTACTGCTCTACAGATGCTATAGAAACTCATAATTCTACGGTTGGCCACACATGACACATGAGACATGAGACAGTCGTGTTCGCTCTTAGTAGACTCTCCTCGGAGAACACATTCGGTTGTTTAATTGGAGGAAATTTCCTCTTATTTATTTATTTGTTCTTTGTCTTTCTCCACAAGATTTTTATTATTAATATTTCGTTAACATTAGTGAAGGAAAGCTGCGAAAAATATTTTTATTCGGCCATGACAACCAAATTAAAATAATTTTCGTCAGTTTATTTTTAAAACAGAGTTTCTCTTCCATTCGCTTAGACTCAGAAAATACAATGTCTGTTGTTACGAAATTTGTCTGTCTTAAAAGTTAATTTTTATTGATTATAATATACAAAGAGGACTTAATTCGTTAATCAAATCAAATTTAACACTAAAGCTACCGAGTTGAGTGAATTGACTCCATACTTGTACCCATACCATCTGTGATAGAAAAGTATGTTAAACTTTGGGCAGCATCTTAATGGACTGGAGAGCAGCCCAACTTTTATTTTGTCGATCATTTCTGAATTATTTTTTGATTTGAGTTAAGCATGTCCGTCTTGTTTCCTTCTGTTTAACATACAGTTGACAATTTTGAAGATATTTGAATGAAAGTTGGCGTGTACGACGGATTTGGGGCCAAGGACAAACGCTATTGCCGATACTTTCGATCGGACCACTTTTTCGACCACCTCGCGTATAACGTCTTAGTTTGAAAAGCCTTTACATGAATAACTGCAAAGTGGTGTAAGGTATCTTATAGTGAGCCGTGGCCCATTATAGAGTTTTTACTTGTTTCAAGTTGAAAATAAAAAGTTGCGTTGAACTATTCTTGATATATTTTCATTTGCGGATATGAACAAAAACATTAAAGCCGCCTACTTATACTTTTTTAATATCAAAGTTAAGACGATTTTGCAAAGTCCGCGAGGTTAAGTTCGACAGACAAATTGACACGTCTTCAGTGAATCACAAACAAAAAATCTCGTTAAATATGTTCTTAATTACCCAAAGTATCAGAGTCGATTTAATCACGTACTACATAGGATATGACCCTTTTTGTTTCATCATGTCCACGAAAGAGCCTCAGATGACTGGAAATACTGAAATAGGAGACTTAACACAGTTCTAGTTCTTAGCTGGATATCATAGAGAAACCTCACTTGATAGACGTCAAAGACACATTCAAAGACTTACATAACGTCCTTGTATTGTATTCGCCGACGTAGACAGTCTAGTATTAATTTAAAGAAATCAAAACCAGAATCGGGCACAACTTAAACACAGCAGTAATTGCAATAACATAAGCAGCTTGAAAAAATTTGAGAAAAAAATATAAAATAATAAAACGCTACCGTCAGTATGTAATGCGAAATTGCAAGACAATGAAGAATGTAATCATATGAGCTGACGGAACATTATTTTTTAATTGAAAAGTATTGATGTTTTATTGTTTTTGGAAGCTGTAAAGTTTGTGCGGCCGAGCGATTTCAGACAGGCCCACTTGTTATTATAACCATCAATTCAGGGAGTGAATCACGCTTCTTTGGATTTTAATGTGTACTGTAAACAGTACATGCTGGCAAGGAAAGCATTAAGAGAGCAGTATTAGATCATTTATAGACCTCTGATGATTAGGATAGCAAATATCTCTGCTGATTAAAGTCGAAACTAACACCATTTCGTTGGTCAACAAATGTAAGGTAGCAAAGTTAAACACTCCCCGTAGTATAATTTCAGTACATGAAATAAGACGCGAGCATAATTTGAAAAACAGATTAAAATACACAAAAAATTGTAGACTTACTTGATAAATAAAACATGATGAAATCGCTTTGTGTTGGAATGATTTTATTTGAAATTATGTAAATAAGCAAAATCACTTAAATCTGAGTCGATGTAAATGAACTTCAGCACCCTATTATGTCATTTATGATCATAAAAACATGTAAAAGCACAATGCATTATCGATCGATCAGTATAAATTTAAACAGTAACCATATAAACTGATGCGCAAGTATATATTACGTAGGTAACCAAATAGAGAGAAGCTTTTTGCAGCTGCAAATCTCCACAAATGTGTCGTCAACAATGCATTTCTTTTCTAATCACCGGATTGGGGTTTGTTTCTGTTTCTTCTTCCACTTCTCCTTCTTCTTCTTTTTTCTTATTTTGCCATACGATACAACATCACAAGTTGTAAGTAAATTTACCGACTAGACGTAACAGATAAATAGTACGTATACCAGCGTATATACATATACGCATGCATACTTCAATATGCTTGTATATATATATATATATATATATATATATGCACACGCACGCACAAAGGATACCGAACATAGTAGCTTACGATAAAAAGTAGAAACACGTTCAGCCTAGACCTTTAGCCATATAAGGACAACGAATGCCAAGAGTACTCGCCGAAGCATTTATTCTTCTTAACAAGCCAAAGAAATAAAGTAAAATAAGAAAAAAAAAAAAAAAAATCCATATATAATTTTAATTTTCTTTTTATTTCTCTTTATTTTTATTATAATTTTTTTTTTTTTTTTTTTTTTTTTATTTATATTATTTTATTTGATTTCTCAACTAATTAACTCGAAAATGATGTGCGTCTTGTGTTTATTGTACACATTACAGCTTCTATAACGTGAAAAATGAAAAGAGCATAAAAGAAAAGTGTGTGCGCATGTGGGCAGTCAAGTTTTAGCGTGCATTTATCATGCATCATTTAAGAATGCAAACACGTAATTACTTGCTCATGCACGCGGATCGACGTACGCATACGCAGGTTGCTTGACGAGAAATTCGCAAAAATTATTATTGACATTTAATTCTTTCTAGAATTTTCTTTTTCCCTTCAATAATAATTTCAAGAAGCGAGATTACAACCGTTCACAATGCTAATCTTTTTTTGTTTGTAACTCTGTCGACTAAGGATCATTGTTTCCACAAGCTCTTACATCTTATTTTTAAATATGTGCCAATACTGATCGTAGTCTTCTTGCAATGCATTGCTTTAAGATGCTGGTGAAGCCAATTATCCTAACGAATTCTTCTAATAAACCATAACTTGCTGACCAACTTTTCGCTCAGCTCTTTAAACTTATGCCAACATTAGCCAGTCTCTTGTTGAAATGTATTCATTTAAGATGCTGAAAAAGCCATCTATCCTTATGAATTCCTCCCAAAATTTCGTGACCAACATCTCCCTGAGGTGTTTCAACACATGCCAACATTGGCTACACTCTCTTGAAGGCTGTCCTTACGAATTCTTTCAATAGACAAGAATTCTCTCTCCAGCTTCTCCCGTCAGCTACATCTACGGATGTGTGAAAAGTTTCCTAAATTGGTTGACTACTTTCTCTTCGGGAGCTACCATATAAAGGCTTGGGAACTGTTCATACAAACGTTTTTTAATCCGTGAAATATCTACAGCTTTCTTCCTAATAAAAAGGGAATCGTTTCATAAATTACAGCATAATGTAGCATAAGAATGCTTAGCTTTTTCTGTGTTATGATCGAAAAGAAATGCTTATCCTATTTATCTCTAATAAGTCTTAGAAAGTCATCAAAGTGGTGAGGTCTAATAGCTTCCAGAGAGTTATAATCATACTTGAAGCGACAAATGCTGGGTAGTGATGGAATTCAACACCTCTTAGGGAGTAGTAATACAAACTGATTGTCTCGGAATATGAAACTAATATTCCTCCTCCTGCTATTGAGTTCTATTTCTCTTTCAGCATTTTCGGTCGTATTTACAAAATCGGTTTGGTCCGTTGCTTCCCTACTTATTACTCAATAGAGTCACTAAACTAGCTACCAGGCAATCAGAATTTCATTCATGGGTATATGTGTGTGGGTGTATATTTTTTCGGTTTACAGCTTTTTTCAAAAGGATGATTTTTCAAAAATATCTTTGCAACCCGGGTAATAGTTTTGAAGTTCGCAATCATTAATGCAACAACTTTCGGGTACTTTTTCTTCTGCATAATCTTTGTTGCTGTGCCAACCGCAGCATTTGAGCTAGAAAATCAAAAAATCAAAGAACAAAATTAGATAAATATTTTCTTAAGCTCTTAACAAACGTAACGAAGAAATGTTAATCTGAAACACATATTCATCTAAAACGTTGTCCCGAGTGTAATAGGATCCGTCAGTCTAAAGTTACGCATTTTAATAGTATTTAAATTTTCCACTCATGTATTCTGCGAACACTGTTTGAGAAAGCAAAATTATTGAAATTTATTGAAAAAAATGGCTACGAACAAAAAACCTCCTTATAATCTATAAACGTATACATGGGAGCATATTAGAACTCCAAACGAGAATCCATTTTCTCCAAACTTTTATTCCCTTGAGTAAGAAAGTTGAACGTAAGCACGAAGTTCTTATGAGAGATATCGGAGAAATTTCGATTCTATTATCGAACTGTAACAAATGCATGTATGCGAAGCATATTTAAGAAAAAAACACTTTGATGTATAAGCAAAATAAATACATAGTAGTATGTGTAATAATTGTTATACAAGTCGTAGGTCAAAGTTTATCTCTGAAGGAGAAGAGAGACAAAAATACGTGCCAGCAGCCGATTTAACGACGCGTCGCAGTTGCTATCGCCTACTGGTGGCTTTTCTTTTAAAATGAGGCTTCGTATGCGAAAAGGGTTTTAGTTTTAATGTTTTCTAGTGAAAATTTCTCCTTTTTAAATCAACCATAGGGAATTTGAAACACGTATATATATCTTTTAGATCGCACCACACTTAAGGGCTCTCATAAAAGCAAACCCACGTATGGCCCCCAATTTGTGGCTGGCTGCGATCAAAGCAACTGAATTTTTGACAAATAAATTAAGTTTACTAAATATGGACCACGTTAGTTGATCTTTTGAGTATGGCTGAAAATTGTTCTCTTATATAAAAAATAATGTATAATTTTTGTACAAGTTGTGTGTGATTAAGCAAAGTGG